CATCTCATCGCTGGATCATTGTACAACCTGAGTTTGTGTAGCCTCAGAAAATTCCTTGTCTTATTTCCCCATAAATCTGTAGCTGGTTCTAACTACTTGTCTCTGTACATAGATTCCCTGGACCTGTCCCGGTAACCTTTCATGGATTCCCAAGTTTGGCTGAGTGGTGTGGAGTAAGAATGAGTGGCAGAAGAGGAGCATGGTGTGTGTGGATTTCCTTCCCTTCTTTCCCTCAGAGCCCTTCACCCGCTGCCCTGCACATTTTATATATTTTGCACTTTGGTGATTGTAAATAAACTTTTGAACTTTTATTCTCAAGAGCTTGAGTCTGTGCCTGAGTCCATTCAGTCTGCCTTGACAGACTTCGTGCATAAATCCCATGTCGATTATTTATTTATTTATTTATTAGCCGTCCTGTTTGGTTATTTAGCAATAAGAATTTTTGTCTGAAGGCCAAGAACTATGCCTACCAGATTTACTTTACTAAATAGATCATCACAACCTTGCCATATTGGTCCATTTGATTAACCTTTGTTATTATTATTTTTTCTTTTCTTTTCTTTTCTTTTAAGTTATTACAGACAAGGCAGACATGACAGGGTATAGGACATCAAGAAACAAAGAAAGAATGAAAGAAAGAAAAAAAGGGAGGGAAACAAAAAACACAGGGGAAGAGGGACAGTGAGAGAAGACACCTTAAAAAAAATCAGCTGGATCACCTGTGATGGGTCTGTCTAGCACAGACCCACAGCTGGAACAAGACAATTCTACTACAACAGCAAAAGCAAGATGCAAGTCACCAAAGTTCTTTGTGTTACTCGTGCACGAGGGAGAGAACTGTGACAAGCGTGTTCCTGTCGCTCACCCCAGTCGCTCTCGTCTGCTCCCTCGTAACACCGCTCTTTATTGAGGTTACATGAATATGCATAAGTTCATTAACATATGACGTCTTACATAGATATACATCTAAACAAAGAATACCTTGTCTGTGTGTCATGTAGGTATATGTATGTGTGTATGTGTGTGTGGGGGGGGTCAAGATGTGACCCTGTGAAGACTCCCCGCACCTACTGGTGCCAGGGAGTCCAGCAGTTCACTTAAACAAAAGGCTCTTACACTCAAACAGATATATGTGTGTTTGTTATACCATATATCAGCAAGAGAAGATACAACCTCTCTCATGAACCTAGGAGGTGTGTGATCTATGCCAGAACACTCTGAAGAGGAGTGAACACACTCCCCTCTTCAGGCTACATAGAGTTGTTACAGACCTCCTAGGACAAGACATTCTTTCAATATGCAAAAAACTATATACTTCTAAGCATAAATGATTATATGTGTCTAAATACAAATGACAATAATAAAATACAAACCCAACAACCTGTTAAAAAAAAGAAAACAAGAAAAAGTAGAGTAACACAATAAACACAACACCACAGCAATATAAGTATAAGTAACAATAACTACTAAATATTGAATGTTATTGTGCAGCACGTAAGACTGACAGCGCACAATATGCCTTGAGGTAGCAGCCAAGAAAGATATAGTTTCTGTCTGTAAACATCCGTGTGTACACCTGTTTGCGTGAGCGCACTTGTATTCAAAAGGTTTTTTCATGTAATGATCTGCTAGAGGGTGTGGGGAGCCCCAACCCCCAGGGCATGAAGCAGGCATGGACAAGATCCAGGCACCAGGCATCCAGAGGCCCCCAGAGTGTAAGAGCCCAAGGAGGACCATCGGAGGGGCAACTGTGCCACCTTTCTATAAAGAGCTGAAGAGAGCCCCAGACGTGGGGGTCAGCCAGCAGCCACGGAGCAGAAGCCATAAACATCCTGTTTATGACGGTTAAAATAAATAACATTCATATAAGAAATAAAATTGTCTTGTGTAAACTGAATGTAGTGTTAAATAGGCCTATACTACTGTACTTTAATGTTGGTCA